AACCTCAGGAACAGTGAGAAACTAAGGTTCTGACTTACTGAGGAAGTAAGTATCTAAGGCAACCCAACATTGAGAAGAAAGCCCTATCCATGCAAGGATAAGAATGCAAGGACAAGAAATTGGCTCTTGGTTCACTAGTGACCTGACCAGAGAATTCGATTTTCCTTGCTCACTTTGAAAGGACAGCCAGAGGGACAAATACTTTCACAGGAGATGATGCAATGTAAAAGTTGCTTGTGATTTATAACACTCACTACAGACGTAAGAGATGAATGAGATTCGAGTCTGGTAGCTTAAAGGCTTTTTAATTACTCTCTGCTTTGATGGTTGGGCATATAAGAGTTTATAACTTAAAAATATCTCCATATTTTTCATGCACCACTGTTCATGAGGAGGTGAGAGGTCAACTTGCCAGAGTTCATTCTTCTCTTCCTCCATATGGGTTTCAGGGCATCATATTTGGCTGCAAGTGACATTACCCACTAAGCCATCTCACTAACCCTATTCCACAATTTTTAAGTAAAAAAAAAAGGGGAAAATTCTTTGGAAAGATTATATATGCAAGATGTATCTTACATGGTTGGCCTATTTATTTCAAGTATATAATTTACCTTCTGAGATGGGGACATGGAGATATTGGTGTTATTTACTGATGTAACCACCAACAGAGACTGTTTACTTATTTTATTCATTGCATGATAAGGGGGCTTAAGGCTACTATGGAGATTTTGACCGGAAGTTCTCAGAAAACCAAAACTCCCCAAGGTTCGACTAGCTTTTGCAAATTATGCATTTCTAAGAAAGGTCTGTTAGTGTGTTGCATGATACTTGGGTTCAAAATGTTTATCAGCAGATTATGCTATTAGACTGCTATGCCATCAAGGGTTTATGAATTAGTCATATGGCTATATGATGATTAGATAATGTGCTCAGTAATCATCGTAATAAATGATAATGCACATTACGCATTTACCACAAATTAGCTACTGTGCTTTATGGCATGCACATACACTGGCCGTCTACAGCAATAGGCTCACCTTTTGAGGCGTGGTGGCCCTTCCCAATAAGATCTACTATAATACCACCACCACCACCACCACCACCACCACCATGCGCTGCTACTTTTCAGAGCATCATACCCTTAAGACATGATTAGTTCACGGGAAGCTGCCCGGCACAAACATGGACAAATCCAGTCCATCACTGAAAACTGAGTTTACAACTGGAAAGAATATGATGATAACAAGTGCAAAATGTCAACCTCAGGAACAGTGAGAAACTAAGGTTCTGACTTACTGAGGAAGTTGCTGAAGAATGAAACTGACAGTTCATGTGAAATCAATTTTTAAAACAGATTTGGAGAAAAGAGCTTTGGCAAATGGCTCAGTTCATAAACTGCTTACCAGGCAAGAGTGAGGACAACCTCTAGCCTACACACACACACACACACACACACTCACACATACACATACACACACACACTCACACACATGTATTGGCACAGGTATAGACACAAGTACACACACAAACACTTAAAAAAACTGGACTTGGGGGGGCATTGGTGAAGAAGGGGAGGAAGGGTGGGATTGAGAGGGGAGGAGGGAGAGGTTTATGCAAAGTGAATAAAATGTAATTAATAAAAAATATTTAAAAAATAATAAAATAATAATAAATAATAAAAAAGCACACACATGGGGAAGATAGATCTGAAGAAAGAATAAGAGGAAAAAAGCTCTGGAATTATTTAATGACTCGGGTTACAAATATTTATTTTATTTTATTTTACAATTTATTCATTTTATATCCTGATTGAAGCCCCTCCCTCAACTCCTCCCAGTTTTACCCTCTCTCCGTCATTCCCCCTCATCTCCTTCTCTTAGTCCACTGAAAGGGGGAATCCTCCTCCTCTGCCATCTGCCCCTAGCTTATGAAGTCTCATCAGGACTGCTTGAATCCTATTCCTCTGTGGCCTGGCAAGGCCGCATTGTCAGGGGCAAGTGATAAAGAGAAGGCAACTGAGTTCATGACAAAAGCAGCCCTTGCTCTCATTACTTGGGTATCAAATATTTTTAAGGGCCAGCAGTAACTTTCTAACTCACTTTTTAAATATTTTCTTCAATTATATCTGGTTGTGTTTTCAACTAAATTCTAATTTTGCTTATGTTAGTTTGTTTTGCGTTTCTGTTGCTTGTGACAAAAGTATCCTTAATAACTCTGTGGACTACCTTTCTTAATTTCTCTAAGTCTTCATATTCCCTTTTTACGAGTAAAGAAACAAAATGAATTCGATTCAAAATCCACCCAGGTGAATAAGGGTAAGTGTTATACCCTAGCCAAATCCAGCCATACTTTCCAAAGTACAAATTCACTGACTGATAAATGATGACTATAAGAAATCTGATCTTTCGAGAAATAAATTAGTTTCCATATATTAACACATAGTATCTTTGCTTATCGTTAGTGAACATATTTTTTACAGTTATAATTTAGTATATGTTTAAGAGCACTCTGCCTGCATATGTGTCTGTATCACGTGTGTGCCCAGTGCATTCCATGGATATGTGCCTTTTTTGTTGTTGTTACTGCTGAAGAAGGTTTAGTATATCAGTTAACCATTGTTGCAAGCCAAATCACCCCAAATCCGTCCCTAACAATAACTTATTACTTCTTAAGCATGTGTATGTTAGCTGGGTATTTGCACTTGTAGGTTGGGCTCAGTTGGGGCAGACGTAGTTCATGTGTTACTCATGAATTCCTTGGATTAGTGGACTGATCATAGGCAAGGCCCACTCTTCCTATGGAGATGAGGGTGCTACAGAGAGCAAGTGGCGGTGCCGGCTCTCTATGCACCTCCCCTTGTGGTAAGTTGACTCATGTCCTTTTTGTCTAAGTCACATTGCTGAACTCAGAGTGGAGGAACGGCCAAGCATGCTGCCACTGGGTACTGCAAAAATACACGGGAGAGGTCAAAGATACAGAAGAAATGAAAACTTTATTAGTTGATGCAATCCACACACACACACACACACACACACACACACACACACTCACACACACATATATGAATTTTCTTTACCATAGTGTCCTGGCATAGAGTATCGAAAGACTGGCCTGAGGGATTCAAGCTCGAGGTTTGTAGCTGCGGTCAAGTGATGGCTGAAGCTGGACAGAGCAATGCAGAAGTTGTAGGGACTTCCCAGGCGCCTTGCCCTCATAGACTTCCAATGTGGTATTTCCATGGGGCTGAGGTTGAGTTTCCTCACAGAATGGAAACCTAACAAATCAAGAACATGCACTAACAAACCAAGAACATGCACTGCTCATTGTAGTGAGAATTTTGGTTTATTTAATACCCCGGCTATGATATATGAATAGTTTGGTTTTAATCCCAGTTGTGGAAAATGGGGCTGCTTCAGTTTGACCACTATGATTGTCTCCTGCTCTAAAAGGGGCGTGATTTTTGCCAGCTTCAGATAGTTTATGTTTGGAATTCTGGGGACTCTGGAGAGGGGGTGTAATTGGGAGCACTCTGAGAAGGTCTGTGGCAACTGCTGTTCTCCCTGCTGTTGCCTCCATTGCTGCTGGCTGCTGTTGTTGTGGTTTGTCAACTAGTCATGTGCAAAGAGACAAGAATAATACATTGAATATCCTGACTATGAAAGTCAAACTGATGCCCCTAATCACCATGAAGTATTCTAAAGAGGTCTATGCCCCTTTTCCCCTTCAACCTTCTTTCTCACCTACCTAGTGTTGAAGAGTTGAAAGGGATTGGGGTGGAGAATGCTGGTAGATATAAGAACCCAATAAAGTAGCCCCAAACCATACCTACAGTTTACTTAAGAACAAGGCTTTACAGAGGTTGCCAAATAAAAATCCCAGTGCCAGGTGTAGGACACTTTCTGAATTATTGCTCAGGTGTGTCCCAGATATCCCCAAAACAATACAAGCTATATGCCATTGTCTTTGGTTGCCCACAAGAACTTGACGGTAAAACCCTATTGCTGGCTGGCATAGTGGCACATACCTTTAATTCCAGCACCCAGGAGGGTTTAACTCCATCATCAGTGAGAGTTCAGGGCCAGCCTAATCTTAACAGTGAGTTCTAGGACAGCCAGGGCTACATAGAGTTAACCTGTGTCAAGGAGAAGGAGGAGGAGGAAGAGGAGGAGGAGGAGGAGGAGAAGGAGGAGGAGGAAGAGGAGGAGGAGGAGGAGGAAGAGGAGGAGGAGGAGGAGGAGGAGGA